TGCTTTTTCTTTTCTTTTTTTCCCCCGAGACAGTCTCACTCTGTTGTTACCTAGGCTGCAGTGCAGTGGCACGATCTCGGCTCACTTCAGTCTATGCCTCCCTAGTTCAAGTGACTCTCCTGCCTCAGCCTCCCAAGTGGGATTACAGGCATACACTGCTATGCCCAGCTCATTTTTCTATTTTTAGTAGAGAGAAAAATTTAAAAATTTTTTAGGGTTTCACATGTTGGCCAGGCTGGTCTCAAACTCCTGACCTTAGGTGATCCTCCTGCCTCGGCCTCCCAAAGTGCTGGGATTATAGGCCCACACCACTGCGCCCAGCCAGGACTTCCACTTCTTAAATCGTGACGTGAGAACCTGAAGGGTTCAGCGTTCACAGCATCGGGTGAGCCTCAGTGCAGACACCATGAGGCAGAACTGAGAACACAGAGAATGCAAATTCACTCCTTCAGAGTTAAACCTGTGGTGGGAGGAGACGGAGACCGAGTGTTCTGAGACAGGAATAATGCAGGGGAGGGTGGGACGGAGTCAGCATGCAGGCATGTAAACTGGGTGGTGGGTAAGCAGAAGTGGTCAGAGCTTGCTAGGATGTGCGGGGCTGGCCGGCCACAGGCTCTGTGCTCTGAGCCCAAGGACTGGCAAGAGAAGCGGACCCGAGTCTGGCAAATCCGGCTTCCTCTGTGATGCTGCTCTATGTCCTATGTCCTTTTCTGCCTTAGTGAAAAGGATGGACAGAAATCACCCTCTCCAGGATCCCATGTGGGCCCATAATGGCCTCAGGCCTGTCTGAGCCTGAGGCAGAGCTGACACTCAGGCGGTGGCTGGGCCCAGCTTTGCCCTCTGTGCTCTTGCCATCACACACAGCCTCCTGCTCCTCCAAGGGTGAGTGCTGGGCTCTGTTCTGAATAGAACCCATCCCAGACCTGCTCACAAAGCCACAGCACGAGGTGGGACACACCAAAGCCCGGGCACCCGCCTCCCAGCTTCTCGCCTAAGGTCACCTCTCGAATACCTGTCTTGACACAGCTCACAACCCCTCACCTGCAGCACTGACAAAGCTACCTTCAGGGAGGGTTCTCAGACCAGACAGGAGTCTGTAAGTAACTGATGCAGACTGGGGGGTTTCCGCTGAGACTTGCTGGAGGGCTCACATGCGTAGTTCTCAACTGCAGCCTCTATGCCCGTGGCCGCCACCTCCAGCTTCTCCGCCTCCACACAGCTCGCAGGGTCTGAGCGGGGCTGCAAATGCGGGCTCCTAACAGGATCCAGGTGCTCAGGTGACTCTGCCGGTTGGAGGACATGCTTTGAGAACCACCAAATGGAGCTCTGGTGGCTGAGAGGCTGTCTGTGCTGAGAGGTGGCATGCACGGAGCACAGCAAGACCGTATGACCGAGCCATGGGGCTGGGGATGATGCTGCTCTCTGGCGGCCCTAGACACCTTTGGATCAGAACACACTCAATGATGCAGACACCTGCTGCTTCTTCCTGAGGCAGCCCGGCAGTTCTAGGATTACGTGGCCAGCAGTGGTGAGAGACTGCCTCCCGGAGGGGGCCCTGAGGGGAGCCCCTTCTCTGGCGTGCCTGAGACTGTGCAAGGGACAAGAATAAGCCGTCAGGTCAGCACGGCCCCAGGACTGGGCTGGGCTCCATTTCCACCTTCCATGTATATGGCATGGAGATCACGATTCTTTCGGAAAAATCTAAAAATACATTGTTTTTAATAACACAAAACTTTACCTGGGGAAATGGGAGTTTATGGAAGAAAACTGAGCAGAAGCCATTTTGGCCTTTACCAGGAGAAGGGCATGTCAGACGTGTGCACCTGAGTGCTGGCACTCTGGCATCACTCCCTCCCTAAGGAATCCAGCTTCTAATAGCAGCTGCAAACAGGGGTGCGTTTTCCCAGACATTCTATTTCAAGCTACTGTTTAAGCTACGAAAGCTCAACTAGGTCTGAGAGCTCCCTACTCCCTGTAATACGTTTCAAATTTGTCTGCCTCCATGAGAAAACTGCCTGGCTTTACTGTGAGTAGTTGGGGGGGAAAAAAAAAAACAACAAAAAAAACTCAAACCCAGGATAGGCTGGATGTGGGAGTTCATGCCTGTAATCCCAGCACATTGGGAGGCCAAGGCTGAAGGATCGCTTGAGCTCGGAAGTTTGAAGAAACTGCCTGGGCAACATGGTAAGACCTCGTCTCTACAAAAAATACAAAAATTAGCTGGGTGTGGTGGTATGTTCCTGTGGCCCCAGCTACTAGGGAGGTTGAAGTAGGAGGATTGCTTGAGCCTGGGGTTGGGGCAGAAGTTACAGTGAGCTGAGCTCATGCCACTGCACTCCAGCCTGTGTGACAGAGCCAAACCATGTTTCAAAACAAACAAAAAACCAAAAACTCACAACGGAACCCAGAACACAGCAACCTAACTGGAAAAACCCAGAGTCAAATCCATGCATCCCTCATAGCACATGTGTGAACACAGCTTGCATCTACAATATCAGAAAGAACCACCGAAGTCACGTCTCTCTTCTCCTCAGCTAAGAGAACAGCTCACAGCAGCTGAGAACACATGTCAGTGGCGGGGCTGCCTGCAAGTCAGGACACCCGGCCCCCACGAGCCGACACAACCTGCCGGCTCCCCGGGCCTTTCTCGTGCTACCCTGCCTGGACTGCCTGCCCTCCGAGTCCACTGATGCAGGGCTCCACCACGGCCAGCAGGCTGGTGTGTACAACTGCTCAGAATCCCCTCTTCAATAAGCATCTCTGAGACCTGATTCTTCCCTCCACTGCTTATTAACCTTCGTCAGACCAGGCACACAGACCAACAGGAGTGACAGGTGCCATCAACACCAGAGCCAGGATCTCCTTTCCCCACATGCCGCCTTCTGCATCCCACCCAGGCCGCCACTATCACTCTTGTCCTAGAACCTGTCGGCAGGAGGCTGGGATCCTCTGGGAGTGCAGGCCAGGTTCATTCAGCAGTCTGTTCACACAGCCACTCCAGAACTCCAGCGTCAGACTCCCAAGGGCACAACCCAAACATCTTTTTCCTACAGCACAGCCCAGGTACAGAAGCCAAGCAACCCTTTCAGAGACCCTCACTCACATCACCCATGTGAACATGAGACACGGTTGATGCCTCCAAGCGCTCAGGCTGAAACTGCACCATACACAACCTTTTTGGGAGACAGTTCCAGCTGTCCGTGGGGAATTCTTCAATGCATAAAAGCAGCGCTCAGTTGAGGCATGGAATGTGCTGAAGCTGAAGCTTTGCAGCAGCAGCAGGAGCTCAAGGGGACCGGGTGAGGCCTGGGCTGTGTGCAGAGCATTCTGCACCCTTGCAGAGCTGGGCTGCTCCCCATGAATGCTGAGTCCCAGGACTCAACCCCATGAGATGAGGAAGATGAAGCCAGGGCGGCAACATGAAGCTGTCCCAACACTCCAAGCACTTAGCCACAGAAGAGCAGGAACCATCAGGAAGAGTGATCCGCCCTGGTGCTTTTCTGCCTCATGGCTGAAGGCCGCACGTTTGCACTGACCACCCATCTCCTCAGGAGCTCAGTAGGACATACCCATCCCAAGCGCCAAACCCAGACCCATCAAAAGCTTCACAGACATGTGCGTCCCCATGAGTGAGCTCGGGAGTGTGGTGCTGACCAAGCACCAGCTTCAACTCATCCGTCGCTGACGGCTGCATGCCATGGTAGCCCCTCGCCCTGCACATGGCACGAGGGGCTCAGGACAGAGCAAGTGGGAGCAGACACTGCCCAGACATCAAGGGTATCAGAGCCACTGTTGTTTAGCACCTCCAGATGTCCGTGTTCACAAAATGCTTCACAATTAAGCAAAAATTAGTGAACTGAATTGCCCATGTTGTTGCTAAGAGGAAGGCCATCTTGCTGGTTATGTTCACATGTGGAATGCCTGCTGAGCTCACACCACACCCAACACAGAACATGACCAGAGAGCCGAGCCCCAACAAACCAGCACAGGAAGCAGCGAGCGGCCTCACAGGTAGTGACCTGGGGACCAGAAGGCAGCTCAGAGCAACTGGCAATCGGGAACCGAGAACCACAGTGAGCAGACCCGCCCACCAGGGACCACAGAAGGTCAGACAGGTCACTGATGAACGGCCTGCCACACAGGCCAAGCAGAGAGGAAGAGCAAGGAAGCACGAGGATCAAATGATGACAACAGGCTGGCAGGAGCTGACCCGTGTCCTCCACAGCAAGGCCCTGCCTCACCAACCACTCCTGTGCCTGCTGCTGAGACAGCAAGCTGCCTCATGATAGATACTGACCTGTGGACGGTCACAAAGATAACATATGGCAAAGCCTGAACTTGAACCTGCATCTGTCCAAGTTCACGTTCGCCAGGCACCCCCAAAACTCAGCATCTCCCCCAACACTGCAGGACAGGAAGTGCATACCCCAGAACCCACCATCACCTGCCACTACTGCAGGACGCGAAGTTTGCACCCCAGGAAACTACTTCACCCAGCACACGGCAGGACAGGAAGTTTGCTGCCCAGGAATCAGCATGAACAGCACATTAATAAAATGCAGTGGTTTCAATTTACATCATTTTCCTATTCACATACACAATAAACCAAAATTGGAAGTGACATTCCCCAGCAGTGCTTGCAGTTAGGATATCTAAATGTCTGACAGGTCTAATGGAAGCCAGGACAGAATCCCGTATTCCTGGGTGTAAAAACAAGCAGCCACATTAAGGTTCAGGGCAATTTCTGTACATAAAACTATTACTTAATGCCAGACTTTGCTCCCCAAATAACAAATACAAAAAGAGCAAAGCCACTTTTGGAAAGATATTCCTCACCACCCTCTCCACTCCTGGCACAGACAGAGGCACAATGAAAGGGCAGGAGGGCAGAGAACAGGCTAGCCACAAGCAGGGAGCGCCGTGAGTGGGGAGTACCCTGTTCCGGCCTTATCCCCATCTGGGTGTGGTAGGCACGCAGGGGCGGGAGGGGGCAGCCTTACCTTTTTCCCAGTCTGCTTCTCCACCATGTCGCTGCTGAGGGAAAGGTCTTCCTGCTGTGGTGCTTTAGGGCACCCACCCTTGGGCATCGTCCTGCTCCTCACCTGATCTTCATTTACACGGCTGGCGCTTCATCATCAACCGTCTGCTTCAAAAGAGAGAACACAACATTCATTGAACCCAGAGGCAGCATAAAACTCATCTACTCTCACATTGCACTCAACAAACTCAGTAACTCGTCAAAGCAGGCAACTGTTCTGATCAGGGTAGGGGCTGGGCCTAGGAAGGGGCATCTCAGGATGTGCCTCCCCAGGTCACCAGCAACGGGAATGGCAGCTTTGAGCAGGAAGGAGAACAGAGAGGGGTCAGGCACTTCACGGCGGCAGAAAGGTACAACTGGCCTGGGGTGTGGCTGTCAGCAGCACCTGGGTCCTGGGTCCCACCTGCTACAGACTGCACTCAAAATGGTCAGGCGCCGCAAGGCAGTCCCTTTCCTGCAGGCAGCGCAGGCAAGGTCACAACAGGCAATGCAGTACACAGCCCTCAGGTCTGCAGGTCAGGTCCACAGCCTCAGCCTCACATCCCATTCGCCACCTGAGAAGCAACTCCTTTCCCCACCAGGCCTGTGCCCTTTGCACACCCAGCTCCCTAACTTGGTGGGCAAGGGGTGCCTTTGAGGGAGTCCCGGCAGCTTCAAGGTCCCAACCCCACGCCCACGAAACCAGATGTCCCCTGGGCCTCCGGCTCCAGCTCCGAGGTTTCCCAAGAAATCTGAGGACACACACTGTGCTGGCCATGTTTTATTTTCTGTATTTAAGGAAATTTTGGCATCTTAAAAAGTTTCAGGCCACGGAGAGACTGCCCCTCTCAGGGGTAGCAAATTCTTAGATAGCCAAGGGCTCCTATGCAACCCAACCACCTTCTTACCTAACTCCCACACACGAGCCAATCCCTGCCTGAAACCAATGCAGAGCCAGGTAACGGATATGAGAAGCATCCCTACAGCACAAAGCCTGCAAGAACTTTCCAGAGTAGCCACTTCTGAACTATTTGCTCTGCTCCATCACACTCTTCCTGCAGAAAACTCAACAGGCAACGGCAGAGGCCTTCCCTGTGCCCCTGCTCCCGACTCCTGGCCGCTCTGGTGGGAAGCGGCCCCTGTAAGACACGCAGTGTGAGCACACTCATTCCTTCCAAGCCTCGTCCTGGTCTCCTCACCATGCCACGCTCAGCATGGACATTCCTGGAGCACGGCCTCCTCCCGGCCTGTGGCCCTTCTAGGTTTCTTCACCACCACAGCCAGGCCTTCCAGCTGCACCTACAAGAGGAATGAGGGGCACACCTACACCCCCCTGCCCAAAGCCACTGTTCCCCATTGAGGTCATCACCACGTCATCCGTTAAAAACATTTCACAGGAACCGAATTGTGCAGAGGCCTCTGCTCTGTCACCACAGCAGCCCCACTGTGCATGACCATCCGGGAAGCAGCTTCTGTCCTTGGCCCCCCGTATTTACCCATCATGCTCATACACCAAGTGTGGCTTTTGAAGCACAATGTGCAGGTACTCCTGTGAGTGGCAGTTCCACTCGAAGCCTCTCCCACCTCCACCCTGTCAGCTCAAGGATACGCTATGTGCCACCTGCTGCTGGATGCAGGCTTGGGTGAGACCACCAGATGCTTCTCTTCCAACATCATCTCAAGACCTGCTTTGTCTTTCCAAAATAAATGACAACATCCCACAAAGTACTGTCTTGGTATTTGACTGGCACAAGAACAGACCCAAAGTTACTCTGGAGAGAAGGACAGGTCTGGTCCACGTATTCACTGCCTGAGGCTTCCACCCATGGTGCAGGTGCGCCAGGTGTTTCTGACAAAATCCCTGACGGCTGAGGCCAAAGACATTTTCTCTATCTGAACCTATGAATTTTACATTCTATTCCAGTTTTCCACCACAAAACTGGAATGTCTCAGCGTGGAGAAATGTCATCTCAACGCCTGACTCAAGGAAGGCTGTTCAAACTCATAGCTATCTAGAAACTCAGTGGCAACATCTAAGTAGAAGTTAAGGATTATCAGGAAGTAAAATTTTACAAAACTCAGACTGCCTGCTGTCAGGATGGAAAAATGGAGCCTTCACCACGGTACAGTCCACTGTCCTGAACTCGGATGTGAGTCTGTGGCCCATGGACACACCCAGAACAGCTCTGGCGTGGTCAGGGCGCAGACCCCACGGCCTACTAACAGTGCCTGGGCCCGACGGTGCAAGGGCTTATCACTTCACTCCTGAAACACCTGGTTCTCTCAGTGTCCCTAGCTTGGGACTGTGCCCAGGCACCTTCCCCAATGGACCAGGGATCTGGAAGTGCACTCAGGAGGTGGAGAAAGTGGGCCACGCCCGCCAGGCGGACACTTCCCACGGCCTGTATCACACTGAACGCTCCGTTGGCTTGGGAGTGTTGCCCCAGGCACACTCTGTTTTCTGGAAAGAGATGTTTCTCCAGCCACCTGCATGACGATATGGCTATGACCATCCAGGTCACTGCCCTTCCAGGACCCTCCTGTCTGCCTGGCCTTTGCTACAACACATTACCGATGGCGGCGATCTGCTCCAGGCCCTGCAGCCCCAGCCCCAGCCTCTCCATGAACCACCATTCTCATTACAGTCATCGGGATGGGTGACAGAGCTGAGATGTGCTGCTGAAGCATCTGGGTCAACGTGGACGCCGCTGGTTTGGATGCAGCTGCCATCTAGCCCATCCTATGCCTCCCAGGACCTGTCTGCAGGCACCAGGAGTAGGGCTGGCCAGCCTTACCCCTTGTCATGACATGGCTGAGCCAGCTGAGGCCCAAGGCACCGTCACTCAGCCATGTCAGTGGCTTCTCCCAGCAGTTACACGGCATTCAGGAGCCAAGCCCACGGGTTCGGCTTACTCACGGGCGTTGTCCGAGAGTGGGGGCTGCCATGACGCCTCCACATCTCCCTGGCAGAGGTGTCACATAGGGCAGTCTTTGAACATATGGGAGTCCTCGCTTTAGACAGTTCCAAGGCTCCCTGGGCCTAGCCCCTGTGCCTTCTCATCACGATGCTCTACAGCCAACCACACAGCAAGGGCCACTGGGCCTCACCCCCAAGACAGTGTCTCTTCCCTGGAAGGTGACTTGGCTGTCCCTGCCTAGACTCCTTTTAAGAGCGGCCTATATCTCCCTCATTTCCAAGTTATCAGGCAAAGTCTATTTTAAACTTGTGACCCTTTGGTCAGGAGGAGAAGAAATGCGCCTCGGGACACTGGGGCTGACTCATGCCCCATGCAGAGCGGAGAGCACGGCTCACGGGAAGGGAAGCGCAGAGCTGCGGCTGAAAGGGCCAGACAGCACCATGGCCCTGACCAGCCCCATGCCACACATTCCCTGTTCCTTCACCTCCAGATGGACGGCAACTGTCCCAGCTCCACAGGCTGTCAGGGTCACCGAGAGTCCAGGGTGGCCGGAGTCCCCCACATGAGCCAGCGGCACACTCCCTGACGCAGAATCCACAGCATCAATGCTGTGGGTTCAGGAACTTGCCCATTACCTGGCAGCCTCGCAGCTGCCAAAACAAGACACAGCTCAACCCAGTGGAGTGGACAATATCTGTGGACAGCTCTGGGATCCAGGGCCAGCTGATGCTGGGCACAGCCGTCCTTGTCCTGTGCCTCTCCATACTGCAAGGGGCCCTGCAACCCACCGGGGCTCCACCTCCCCTACAACCAGGCTCAAGAGACATGACAGGAACAAGGACACTCTGATCCCTCCTGAAGGTGGCATTGAGAGCACTCAGGTGTGAGAGGTGCTGTCAAGACCGGCCCAGGGAAACCACAGGGGAGGCTTCCCAGCATCCTCCACACGCCAGCAAGCACAGAGCCTTCGCCTAAACCATCCCAGACAGCGCGCCCTCCCCATCCGCACACACAGGAGCCCAACTGCAATTCCCTCTGCTCCGCAGAAGACTCAGCAAACACCAAAGAGCCTACCTCCAGGACCAAGCCTGACACAGAAGGGGTTACACTGACTGCCATAAGATGAGTCTGGCAAAAACTCCAGGAATTCCAGCCTGATCTGGTCTCTTCAGCTGAGGAGTGAAGAGCAGGAGGCACTGGTGGGGAATCTGGAGCTACCTCTCCTGGGCATCTAGGACCAGAGCTAGTCTAGGATCCTGAAACACCTGTGGGGTGGCGTGGGGTGGGGGCTGCCCACAGCACTTCTTGCCAGAGGCCTTGGCATCACCAGGGAGCCTGTGGAACACAGAGACTCACGGGTCCCTGAGACCTTCTGATTCCAACCCTGCACTTTCACACCGTTCTGCTCCGCACACTAACATCTAAGAAGGACCACACGAGAAAAAACCTGTAGTGACGCAATTCCTAAAACTCACAGGAAAAAGAAAAACTTCAGGGCTGAAATCCACCTTGAATAAAAGGATAGAATCTAAGTACAGCGGACTCTTGAACAACCTGGGCTAGAGTCTGCATGCACCATGTGGGTTCACTTATACGCAGATTTTCTTCTGCCGCTGCCATTCCTAAGATGGGGAGACCCATCTCTCCTCTTCCTCTTCAGCCTCCACGATGTGAAAACAAGGATGAAAGCCTTTTATTGAGATCGCTGCCGTGCGAGGCCTAGGTCTGTTTTCTCCTCATGATCAACTTAGTAGTTTTGCTTTTCTAGCTTGCCTTACCCTAACGGTGAGAGTACAACACGCATAACATACAAAATGTCTGTGACTGGCTTTATGTGATCGGGAGGCTCTGGTCAACAGGAGGCTGTTACTTAAGCTTAGGGAAGTTAAATGTTATATACAAATTTTCAACTGCACAGGAGATTGGTGCCTTCAACTCCTGTGTCGTTCAAGGGCTTGCTGTAATTTGTATTAAAACATCAAGCCCCTTCCACCTGCGTGACTCTCTCTGCCTCAACAGACAACGTTACTCTCCACACGTCAAATTCAGATTTGTCTTACACAGTGCTTTGATAGAACAGGGCTTTTAAACATGTCCTGGGCAAATGCTCCTCTCCTTGCATAAGTTAACAACTCCACCGACCACTATACCACTAGTTTGTTTAACTACCGTTTAAATATTGAATGGTGCCCAAAGTCCCTGAGAAGGGATGTGTTTCAGCCCCCTCCCCCTCACACAGGCGCTTGGTCTCAGAGGCCCAGGAGGCGGGAAGCGCCCTCACGCAGAGAAGTCAGAAGTGGGGTGGAAAAAGGGGTGGGAGAAAGCTGTCCAAGAACTGTTCAATCCCAGCTCCAAATCTAAAGACAGGAGCACACTCATGATTGAGAGGATCAAACGTCAAAGGGCTATTTACCTTGTGGGGACACTGGGGAGGGTAGGGAAGGGGAGTGAGGAGAGGCTGGAAGGAGCAGTCCTGCATGGCTCCAGGCTTGCGCCTCCTTAGCCCTGGGCACAGCCCGGCATGGTGAGGAGGCCAGGTCTGCCTGTAGCACACAAGGCCATGCTCCAAACACCTTATCTTTCTTTGAGGGGTTCATTTTGTTTGTCTGAGACAGGATCTCATTTTTCGCCCAGGCTGGAATGCAGCGGTGTGATCACGGCTCACTGCAGCTGCTGCCTCCTGGGTTCAAGCCATCCTCTCACTTGAGCCTCCCGAGTAGCTGCGAGTACAGGAGTGGTGGTGCACGCCTGTAATCCCAGTTACTCGGGAGGCTAAGGGAGGAGAACCGCTTGAACCCGGGAGGTGGAGGTTGCAGTGAGCCGAGATCACACCACTGCGTGATCAGCCTGGCAACACAGCGAGACTCTGTCTTAACGGGAAAAAAAAAAAAAAAAAAAAAAAAAGGAGGCCTGTCTGCCCTTCCACTATGTTGCATGAGAAAATGCCAGGAACCAAATCTGCCAGGACCTTGATCTCAGGCGTGTCACCCTCCAGAACCATGAGACACAGATTTCTGCTTATTTATAAGACACACAGGATCTGTGGTTTTCTTGTTACAGTGGCAGGGACTGCCCCCACCTCCCCACCCTCTGTTCCAAGGCACATAGGCTCTCTGCTGCAGCCCCGTTCTCCACATGCGGCCCCTATTCCACTTCCATTTTCTGTTACCACAGGGTGGGAAGCGCCAGGGCATTCTGCATCTCTGACCTCTGCTTTGGTCACACACACGCATGCTCAGCCACCAGGCTGCATGAAACATACAGAAGCCCCCTTGCTCGAGAAACATGAACTATCCAACACAAACACGGACACAGGAGTTACGTGGGCACCTTACAGAGGAGGGGAGCCAGGAGGGCGGCAAGTGGGTGCAAAGTTCTCAACTACATCAGTCATTAAGAGAATCCAAAGTAAAACCAACGTAAATGCGATGATTACTGTGGAGTGTCAACTTCACTGGATTGAAGGATGTGAAGTATTGTACCTGGGAGTGTCATGAGGGTGTTGCCAAAGGAGATTAACATTTCAGTCAGTGGACTGGGAGAGGGCACAGCCACCCTCAGTCTGCCTGGGCACCGCCTAATCAGTGACCAGCGCAGCTACAATAAAGCAGGCAGAGGAGCGTGGAAGGACGGGACTGGCTGAGTCTTCCGGCTTTCTCCCCTGCTGGGTGCTTCCTGCCCTCAAACATCAGATGCCAAGTTCTTCAGCTTTGGGACTCTTGGGCCGACACCAGTGGTTTGCCGGGGCACTCGGGACTTTGGCCACAGACTGAGGGCTGCACTGTCGGCGTCCCTACTGTTGAGGTTTTGGGGCTCGGACCGGCTTCCTGGCTCCTCAGCTTGCAGAGGGCCTATTGTGGGACTTCACCTTGTGATCATGTGAGCCAATACTCCCAATAAACTGCCCTCCACATATGCATTGATCCATTAGTCGTGTCCCTCTAGAGAACCCTAATACACACAAGTATTGGTGATGAGGTAGAAAAAACGGAAACCGACCCATTCTCATCAGGGCAACCTCACGAACCTGGCGCTCCCTACTCAAATTGGACACAGGCATGCCCCAGCAGTGCCACTGGGGACATACACATTCAAAAGAAAGGCAGGCACACACACATCTGAGACAAGCATGAAATGCTTCACAGCAGTAGGGTTTGCAGCACGCCACTGGATGTAAGGATGGAACACTACACAGCAGGGAAAGCACACACGTCACAGCATGAAGCAACCCCACAGATAATGTTGAGGAACCCTGTCTCTACAAAAATTTAACAACTAGCCAGGCACTGTGGTGCATGCCGTCCAGCCTCAGCTACCCAGGAAGCTGAGGCAGGAGGATCACCTGGAGGGCCCAGGAGGTCGAGGCTGCAGTGAGCCAAGAGCAGCTGGCTCTGACTGCACTCCAACCTGGCTGTTACAGTCAGACCCAGACCCTGTACCTCCCTCCTCTCTCTCTCACACACACATAATAATAATAATATTGGGGACAAAAACACACGGCATATTCACATAAATTCCCGAAAATAGCAAACTACAGTACTTAGGGACGCGTACTTAGTTGACATCACGAAAGTGTGGATAACGGCTGCCTGGGCGGACTGGGAACTGGAAGTGAGGGTGAAACCGAGGGTGTTCTAAGTCAAGGTTGCAGAGGCGTCTGCTTTGCCGTCTGCTGAGTCGTACATTTGTACCGTGTGGACGTGCCAGTGCTGTGCTGCCTTTCAGCTGAAGTATGGTTTTAGGGAGACAGAGGTAAAGGCCACACTATGCCCTGGCTGCAGAACCTGTCTTCTCAGGGGGTCCTGGCCCTGAGGAAGAAGGACTGCATTGCCCTGCTAGGCCCTGCTGGGAACCACAGGGGCAAGGGCATGACGAGGGAGCAACCTGAGGCTTCCCAGCCCATCGGGAAGGCCTGGTCACGCCCAGCACACACTATGCGGTAGGACAGGGAGCTAGCCAGGAGCCTGACAAGGGGACACACAGCTCTCTGAAGCTGGAGAGGAAGAAGAGCAAGGAAAACGCTTCTCTTACACAGAAGGCATCAAGATATAAACTAAACATGATGAAGACAAAGAAATGTAGGCGTGTGTGTTAAAGGTACAACTGCATAGCTAAAAATAATCACAGCCATAAGGCACAGACGGCAGATGGAGGGTGAGTCAGCAGATATCCTCCCAGGCTTGCAAGAGTGGAAATAAACACACGGAAGTGACCAGCAGAGAGAAACACGCAGGGAAGAGGAAGGTTAGAAAGGTCATGAGTGTCATGCACCGCTGCTGGTAACTCAGAGAAGGATGGCCCGCAGAATGGGTGCAGCCACCCTGCAGCACGAGGTGCACACCACTCAACACAACCTGCCACCCATTGCTTATAGGGCCAGGCATGGTGGCTCACCCCTGTGGTCCCAGCGACTCAGGAGGCCAAGGCAAGGGGGTCATTTGGGTCCACGAGTTCAAGACCCAGGCAATGTAGGGAGGTATCATCTTTACAAACACATCAGAAAATCAGCCAGCTGAGGTTTTGTGCATCTGTAATCCCAGCTACTCGGGAGCCTGAGGCAGGAAGACCACTTGAGCCCAGAAGATCAAGGCTTCAGTGAGGTGAGATCACACCACTGCACTCCAGGCTGGGTGACAGAGCAAGACCCTGTGTGAAAAAAACCCAAACCCCAAACCAAAACAACACAACCAGGACACAAAAGTGTGCCTGGACGAGAGCAGTGCACTGCAGCGCCTCCTAAGAAAGGGGCTGAACACCAAGCTCCCCGCCAGGGGCTGATGGTGGCATCCAGGCACATCCGCACATGGAGCTGACAGGATAAATGAGGATCTACAGATACACGACCATGTGGGGAAGCAGAAGAAAGCAGAGAAATCTGTACAGGTTTAGAAATTCGTAGGTACACCTACGCTTCTGGTAACAGGAGCGTAGAATATGTAAAATATGTAAGGCTGGCTCAACAATCAATCAATCAGTCATCATCAACCAGGCCAACGGCTAAAGAAAAAAATTCACATAATCACAACTGGTGCAGAAAATCATCTGATAAAATTCAAAACTCATGATAAAAATTCCTAGCAAAACAGGAGTGTAGAGAAACATCCTCAACACAGTAAAGGCCATCTACCAAGAGCTCGAGGCTAGCATGACCAAGAGTGACGTGCTGAGGGCTGCCACTCAACACTCAACAGAAATCTGGCCAGCACGGTGCGGACTGGGAAGTAGATGGAATGGCATATAAGGCAGAAAGGAAGAAATGGAATAAAGATGGCATAAGTGCACATGTCGAAAATCACAAGGAAGCTGTCGAAAATCCCGAGAAACTTGATTTAATAGAGTTCAGCAAGGCCACAGAATCCAAGATCAATATGCAAACCCATCCTAATTCTACACCCTAGCAATTATCATATGAAAACAATAAATAAAGACACAGTACCATTTATAGTTGCTCCAAATAAAAATAAAATGCTTAGGTTCAAATGGAACAAAACTATAAAAACCTATACAAATTTTAGGAAAAACACAAGAGAAAATCTTTAGGACCTAGGGCCAAAGTCAGACAAGGCACCAAAGCACAATCCAAAAAAGAAAAAAATCAATAAACCACCTTGACAAAATTAAATCTTTTGCTCTATGAAAGATCTAGTTTAAAGAGTGCAAAGACAAACTTCAGACAGGGAAAAATACCTGCAAATCACAAGTCAGATGGTAGACTTATATGCAGAAGAAAGAAGTATCAAACAACAAACCAACATTAATTCGAAAATAAGAGAAAAGATATAGTCATTTCCGAAGAGGTATGCACGGTGAACAAGCACATGAAAAGACACTCAACATCCTAAGCCATTAGGGAAATGAAACTTAAAACCACAGTGAGACATTACTACACAGCTATGGGAACAGCTGAAATACAAGGTAGGAATGAATGCTGGAGAGGAAGGAGCATAGCTGAACTCCCTCACTTGCTGCAGGGAGGGGGAGTGGTGCTGCTGCTCTGGAGGACAGCGAGGCAGTGCCTCACAAACCCAAGTGTACACCTGCCACCTAACAAGACGACTGCACTCCAGGGCATTTATCTGAGAAATGGAGCCTCATGCGCACACAAAGACCTACTAGTAACAGACAACAGGGAAAACCCTTCAACAGCTGTCCCAGTAATGTCCTTCTAACTGGGTTTCCTTCACACCATGGCAGCCCCTCAGCAATGAAAGGAATGGCTATGGATACGCCCAAGAGCGCTGGCGAATCTGCAGAGGACAGGACACTGCTGAGTGAGTGCAAAAAGCCCATCTCGCAGGTCACTCCCTGTGAGACTCCTGGCAGCTGGCTTCCTCCAGGACAAACAGGTGGGACCCCGTGAGGAGGCTCTAGGACCAGGTATCCAGGATACAGCTGGTGGGATCTGAACAGAGTCTGGGGTCCAGTCAACATGTCTTCCAACGTAACATTCCCGACCACTGGGGGATGCTGGGGAAGGGAACATGAGGCTCTATAATTTTTTCAACTTCCTTTGAGTCTACAATGATTTCAAAGGGGTAAAAAAACAGAAACAAGGGGTACATAGAAACTTCCATGGGTGATGAAAATATTCTATATGTCTACGTGATGGTGTTTTCCCAACGGTATGCATTTCCCAAAACTCACTGAACTGCACATTTAAAATGGGTGAATTTTATGTCATTCATAATCCAATAAAGCTGTTAAAAAATTTCCTAGTACCAAAAAAAAAAAAAAAATTAATTCTCACAGAAAGGAAGAAGAAATACAGTTAAAAAAAAATGAGGTAGAAGTTAAGCTTCCTTTCATAAACCTTGTTTTGTGTATTTGGCTTTGGAATCATGCATTTTACATCATTTAAACAATTAAATATAAAATGAGACTGGGCATGGTGAATCCCAGCACTTTGGGAGAGCGAGGAGTGGGGATCACTTGAGGTCAGGAGTTTTGAGCCGAGACCGCACCACTGCATTCTAGCCTGGGCAACAGACAGAGTGACACCTTGTCTCAAAAACAGAATGTAAAAACTTAAATCTTCACATTATAAACATTTTAATAATGTTTAAAATAATTTAAATATATCTGACATTAAATATTAACATGTAAAGGGTTTAAAACATTAAGCATAAAGATACAAAAAGCAATCTCTAAACCTCCAAAAGGGAAGAGGAAGCAATACACTTAGCTGTGTGTTGGGCAAGGGGCAGAAGAGAAAGCATCTGTCAACAGTGACCAGGAGCCAACACCACACCATAAAAGCATTCCTGACACCATGCAGCTTCTGGGTGGGAGGGCTCTGGGGACCTGGCTCAGGATATGAGTCAGGTGCTAGTGGGGCCAGTATGGTGGGAGGAGCTGCTCCCAAGGGGGCTGCTCCCCTGGTTGGGGGCCAGGACGGGGGGAGGGGGAGCCTGTTGCTGGTTCTGGCAGAATGCCTGAATTCCTTGGTGCACAGACAGGCTGTAGATGTGTGGACACGTCCATGGGGCTGCGTGAGGGTCCTCGTGACATAGCAGCTGGCTTCCCCAGGACAGTGACTGATGGGTGACAAGGAGGAAGTCAGGGCACCTCTTGTATCAGAAGTCCCATGGCTTCACTTCCACCTCATCCGGTTCCTCCTCAGTGAGTTACAATGTGCAGCCCACACTCAGCAGAGAATGACGCTCTACCTTCTGAAGGACGGCAGATCGAAGATTCTGTGGACATTCTTCAAACTTTTACACAAGTGGCTTTTGATGAAAACCTAACAATCTCACTGTACAGTTCTAGTTAGTGCTAAATGCCCTGAGGACAAAAACTAAAAATTTAAAAAATATCATAAGCAAAAAACCTTCTTTTATTTTTATTTTTTGGAGACTGAGTCTCACTCTGTTGCTCAGGCTGGAGTACAAGGGTGTGATTTTGGCTCACTGCAACCTCCACCTCCTGGGTTCAAGCGATTCTCCTGCCTCAGCCTCCCAAGTAGCTGGGATTACAGCCACGCACATCACCACGCCCAGCTAACTTCTGTATTTTAGTAGAGACAGGATTTCACCCTGTTGGCCAGGCTGGTCCTCAACTCCTGACCCCATGATCTGCCCACCTTGGCCTCCCAAAGTGTTAGGATTACAGGTGTGAGCCACTGCGCCTGGCCAAATCTTCCTATTTTCAATAATAATATTGTTGGTGGTTATGTTAGAATTATTCTAAGATTGTTAAGTATACAGTTTGCAATGATGGCCGTGCACAGTGGCTCGCACCTGTAATCCCAGCACTTTGGGAGGCTGAGTTGGGTGTATCACTTAAGGTCAGGAGTTTGAGACCAGCCTGGCCAACAAGGTGAAACCCTGTCTCTACTAAAAATACAAAAATCAGCCGGGCGTGGTAGCGTGCTCCTATAGTCCCAGCTGCTCAGGAGGCTGAGGCAGGAGAATTGGTTGAGCCTGGGAGGCAGAGGTGGAGTGTGCCACTGCACTCCAGCCTGGGCAACAGAACGAGATGCTGCCTGAAAAAAAAAAAAGTCACTGTTTTGAAAATTGTTAAGGGCAATCAAACATTTATTATTCTTACACATAAGCTGTGCCTCAACCTGACAGAGAATGGGAGGGAATGATTTCTACACACAAATATTCCAGCAACAAGAGAATGGCAGAGTCACAGCATCACCACACGCAAACCTAATTAATCAGTGGAGCCAAGCAATCAGCATCCATGCAGGGTTCCCTGACAAAAAGGGACGCAGCCAGATGCTGTGTGCCCTACTGCAAAATGATGAACCCTACGAAGCAGTCTTGCCAAAAAAAGAACAAAAAAAAACACCAATACAAGTGAACCTGAATCTCACCATGCCTCTAGATCCAAATGCCAATGCACAGGTCCCTCAGGGACGAGAGAGATGCGTGATGCCACCACGGAACGTCCCATCCAGACTGGAGGAAACTCTCAGAGCTAGGCAGGCAATGACCACAGCTTTAAGCTACGTGGAACCACTAAGCACTGGACGTTTAATACACTCTGATTTCAAAGACTTAATACCAAAACAATTCCACGAATACTTTTCATATTGATTACATGTTAAAATGACAGTATTTTGGTATATGCTAGGTTTGATGAAATACTTTTTTTTTTTTTTTTTTTGAAGAGACGGAGCCTCACTCTGCCCCCAAGACTGGAGTGCAGTGGCACTATCTAGGCTCACTGCAACCTCTGCCTCCCAAGTTCAAGCAATTCACTTGCCTCAGTCTCCTGAGTA